TCCTCCAACAAGTTTTAACTGAGACGCCGACTTGAGTCGAACGCCCAACCTGGAGGGCCAGGAGGCTAGACTTTGTCTGACTTCTACCCATTGACCTTCCAGGCATGATTAGATCTGCGGCTCGACAAAAGCCGTTCTGTGTGCGTGTGTGTGACTAGACAAACTGACGATTATGCGTGAAGATGAAGTCTGAAGGATGGCCAGTCCACATACGAAGTGTTTTTCTCATGTAACAAATTGGATAACAGATAAAAACAAACTCGTAACCGGATAATCTAAACAAAATAAGAAACACCAGGCGTTTACTTGTACAGTCTGCGGGCGCTCTTAAATACCGCTATCTGTGAATGAATTTAAATCTTAGGGACAAAGGATTTGACACAGACACTCCGAAAATGCACGACGATATGAGTAGCTACAGGGACGTGAGAACAGTACACACTTCTTGTGAGTCCCAAAAAAGATGAAAACACTGTCCAACAATGTCTGTCGGGGTCATCTCATAGCAAACAAGAGAAAGAAATAGTATTATCTGTGGGTAAAAAACAGTATTCGAAGACGGACCAGCGTGGTTACATTTGCATACTTTCGAACCGAATCATAAGCAAGGTGATCTGTTGTTTCTTTGTTCGGTTTCGGGCAGTCAAGCGATTACTGACGTATGTTGGGCTTTGAAGTTCGCGATCCGAAGAGCGTAACTATCGGTCAAATTTGGTAGTAAATTGCTTGCTTATTATCACACTGATCTTATCGGGGCGTTTTTTCGTTTAAAGCTCCAAATGCCAGAACTTGGGATGAGGTTCCGTTATTCACACTTGCTTATAATCCAAACTGGGCACCAAACAAATCACGGTGTAACAATATGTATGAGAAATACATCTGTTCATGAAGACGACCAGTTTATCAAGACCAAAGTAAGTGAATTTTCTTGGGGATTTAAAACCGGGACCGTCGGCTAGCTAAAGGCCGGCACACAATGCGGCGGATGTGTGGAAAGTACAACCCATTCGGGACCGATGTCCAGTTCATCGGATTGTCCGCCCGTTTTAGGTGCCCAATACACCCCGAAACTAAATCAAATCGGTGACCACTGTCACAACATGAAAGGTGTGCATGATTCGTGCGCCTCTTCATGGTTGGTTTGGAATCAGAGCATTTAGCTAACTACCCTAAATGAAGTGACAGTGATTTACCGACCCCGTTATAGCCCCAGATCTGGGTTTTTCGTCCTCCCACTTCGGCTGGGAAACACCTCCGATCATTGAAGGTAGAGACTTCTTCACTGGAGGCCGGTGGAGATGCTTGGTCGTGTTGGAAAAAACATCACGAGGTGTAAGGGGGAGGATAACCAGTCAACCCCTATCNTTTGGGGGGGGGGGGGGGTGATTACGTGATTCGTTCTTTCTACGGTTTATTACCTCGTAACGTGCAATAAATGTACAAGCTTGTAACGACTGGTTATATCAGCTCGTATACAGATAACACGAACTAGTATGATCGCTTTTCATTGCTTCCGAGATTAGCACTTCATGTAGCATGCCAGTGTGTACGACCGATTACATTCTACCACTTCATTCTGGCAATCACCGGTGTGGTTTAAAACGAGCAGATACATACGTAGAAAACCATTGTACCTGTTGATTTGACAGTCTTTATGGATAACACATGTATTTAGTTCTCATGGCGGTAAATCGATCATTAATTCAAACGAGAACTAATGCACTAAGCATTGCGGACAGAGAAAGTGAACAAATATGGAATGGAACTTACCAGTACAGGAGCAGACAGGTACACAATACACAAAGTACCCTGAATTAGTAAGCGCAACGTGGTTAGAAACCACAAAACTGTCCTTTCCCATTCAAGGGTTCCTTCACAATATCCCCACAACGGAGTGAAGGCAGCGGTCAGCACTAAGCTTGCAATCTATGATCTCATCGACTGTCAACTCACCTATACGCTGAATATTTGAGGAACATTTGGAAGTTAAAAATTTTTGCAGAGAAAGAATGAAGTTTGATAAGTTTTTGGTCAACCTAAGGAATAAATATCATGATTATCATTTCGTCGATAGAAACATATCTTCCCACGTACGATTCACTCGAATCCGGGGAAAATGTGGCCACTTCAAGGTCTCGTTCTTGAATCCGTTCGGCGGAATTCATAGTGGAAGACAGATCAAAATGATGACCCAAATATGGGGTCGATATGGTGGTTCGCTGAAAACATACACGATGAAGAGAGATCCTGTCGGGTCAACCTACGTCAATATCTTCCAATTTATTGTACCGCCACGCGATTCGCAGACTGTCCGTTTCAACAGGCCCCTCGGGAACAGACTCGATCACATCGGGTAGTCGCTGAGGTTAATTAAATTTTCATAATTATGATGATGGTTTACATACGGCCAGAAGTTGTTCCACTTTTTCCTTTGACGCGTACAGAAAACTGTGACCGGAAACAAGACCTTCAGCAACGAACAAGTCAAATATTTGCTTTGTATATGTTTCATGAAAGTCATTCTCTAAAATCCGATTAGTTCCGGTGGTAACCACTTACCAAACAAAGACATCGTTCCCGCACACACGCCACCATCTAAAAGGTACAGCAGCATATATCAGCAAATGTTCTATCGTACTAAGAACTTCATCCAGTGAAAGAATTCCGGTAGATGTGTAAAACGTGGATAGTTTGATCGAATGTTTCGCGCCGCTGACCCTGAGCGCAACAGAACGATGAGGTCCCACCATGGAACTGAAGTCTGAAATTAATCAACGAGTACAGTGAATCTGATATTCTCTTTAAAAATAAATGCAACTCGCTTGAATTTCAAAGTGCGGGGTAATGGAAGCTTCACGAGTAGGGGGATAGTTCTTATCAGTTTGGCACAGCGATAAACAATCGGGTAGAATTTCATCTGGTGGCCATCCATCTATCAAGCAAGAAGATGTTGATCCGCTACAAAGAAAACAGATTCTACTCCAGGAGAATTGGGGGCAAATTCTGACATTGGAGATGACGTCATTCAACTTGGTGGATTTGACATTATCGTTGAGCGATCAAAATGAGTTTTCCCAAACCGAAGTGGCGGAATCGTTATTTTCGTCAACCGATAATAGTGTGAAAATGATTCTCAATTTTTTTTCAATTCCACACTACTAAGGTTGGTCGTATTTTCTTTTATTGTAAGCGTTGCTATCTTAATCAGTTTCAACCTATTATACTAGCTAGCATTCACATTGCCCTTGATATACCTGCCTCTGACATTAATGTGTTTATTGATTTCTTCTTCACAGTTTCTGGAAGGTCTGGGCCAGTATTTTTGCATTGCTGCTGGTAATTTTATTCCTTTCACATTTCTTTTAAACAATAGTATTTTCGTAAATATTGCATATTTTCTCTTCCGACTGAGTGTTTAGCTCAATGACATCTTTGTAAACAACCATGAAAACTTCTCCATCGAAAAACGGGCCTTTCTGAATACCACAGACCACTGCTCTATTATTTTGCACCCAAAAATGTATGGCAAATGGTGTCATCACCAACTGTCATTTCTTACCTCTAGAAAAATCATCATCGTACAGCGAAATACAGTGAAGTGAACTTCGCTGATCGCTGGCAAATAAGGATAAATTGTTCTTCCGATAATCTAGCCTTATTTGGAGACATGGTTTCTTCCATCGGTTTCTCGACTTTCGTCAGTACTGATAGCTCTTTCCGTTATCTTAATGTTTGCTTTGGTCTGTTACATTATTTTTTATTATTTCAACACGAAACCAATTACAGAGAACTGATAAATGTGCCACAACGTATGAACAGAAAGAAATCTGAATAATGTGTTCATAGGTTGTGTGGGCATGTTACTTCCCGGTTTCCCTGGTCGAGGAAGGGGGATAACCTCGGGGTTCCCACCCGAAGCCTTTGGCTAGAGAGACAGACCTGCAAGACAACAGGACGGAGATCCGAGTCCGCAGTCCATTGGGGGCCGGTGTCCAGTTCACTGAATCATACGCCCTTCGGACGAGGTCAAACGTCCAAGGTGCCCAATACACCTTGATGCCCAATCGAGCCGGTGACCACTACCGCGACCAGGAAGGCGTGCGCATGGTTCGTACGCCTCATCTTGGTTGGTTTGGAATCAGGGTTTTCGGCCAACTCTTTTCCTTTATTGCATTTAGCTCCTACTATTCAGTTATATGTTGAATAAAGTCCAGATGTTAGACCTTTGTCCTCTAACTGTCAAACGGCTTTCGCGATCGACTAGCGTAATAATTTATCTATTTATTATTACTGTTTATTTGATCATATTCAACACACAACTTGTCTCAAAATGGAATGCAATATCCGAACCGAAAGATTCTATGCCGCTCCGAACGACCCTAATTACTCGACAATATGACGATACTAGTTTGGCATTTTCTACCAATTTCGCACCAAAGTCGGGGTAGAACATTCAGAAAAATTAGATTTTCTATACATCTCACCGGGTGCCTACGATTGTGGCGGATTGCACACAATACAAAGATGCCATCAAAACTCTAGAAAAAACATCGATTATTCCAATTCACTGTGAAGCGGTTGGCGGTCTCCATGTAAAACGGTGATCTTTTTTTGTGCGAGAAGTTTGTGCTTGACAGAAACAGTCCGTGGTCAGCACAAAGTTGGAGTAGGCTTTTTCCGTTTTCAGTCCTGTTGGCTGGGATTGCATGTAAACCTCCAAGTAGCCCCTCTGATTCGTCCAGGGATCCCACTTGAGCATTGAAGTTTCCAGCGACCACCACGATGTCCGTTGACCGAGCACTTCGGAGCAGTTGAGAGAGGTTCTTGTAAGATTCATTCTTCACTTCTGGCGAACTGCAATCTGTCAGTGCATACACCGATACGACGAATAAACATCGACATTTCGTTCTGTAGCTGTTGATCGGCACTCAACCATCCAGACGTACGGCGCAAAGTCGGCTGTTAACCGGGATCCAGTCGAGAAGTGAAACAACACTCAGCGCAATCCCGACATCAGCAACACTGCGAGGTTCGGATGCCGAATCGCCTGACACACGGAGCGGGAGGACGAGGTTGCAAGATGATGGTTGAAGTAGGGTCTTGTATACGTGTTTCAGAGACACAATATACGATTAAATTCAATGTTTCAATAGCTCTAGCTAAGGCAGCTTGTTGACCGATCTGATAGAGTATGCGGACATTAAATGCGGCCAAGTGGAAAGGAGATTTTGGTTTCAAAAATCTGCTAGCCTCTGAGTGGTTGACTTGGTTATTTGGACGCTCAGTGATATCCCATGGGTGGCGCAAACAGGATACATCTTCTAAGGTGTGGGAGTGAGAAGAGGGTACCTAAGAATCTGGGGCACGTCATGCTTCGCGGTAGCCCACATCGACGAAGGGCTTTTTTCTTTGGGAACCCAGACTGGAGCCTTTGAATCAAAAGTCTGACGCACAAGGTAGTGGGGCGTAGATTCAACGCGGGAGCATGAACGAAGCACTCATGTGGGAGCTTCGGGGGACCTTTGAATTTCGGTTGTGTTGTTAGCTGGTGCCTTGGTTAAAGGTCCACCTTTCTGGATCGGCCCTGAGCCTCATGCACCCAATGAGACAAACGGAACGTGGACGGGGTAGCAACTTATTGGCCGGAGGCTGCCACGCTTGAGCGGGCGGTAGCTGTCCAATGAAATGCGAAGACCTCTCCCATCGTTGAGAGGAAGCCCCAGGTACTTCGCTCTCACGTCCATCTAGCGGATTTTTGACCGGTAAACTGCTCCTTCTGGTTTTTATTTGCTGGAGTGACTTCAAGGGCGGGAGTGGATAGTCAAAGGAAGCCAGGTGCCCAAGCGGCTGGCCCTGTGAGACTGATCTTCGTCTGGCCTCTACACATTGACCTTTCAGGCATGATTGGACCTGCGACCATGAGGAGCCATCCTGTATAGCTCGCAGGGTCATGGAGGCACGCAAGCCATCACGCCACGTGAAGGTGCAGTCATGTCGTGATGGTGTAAACTCGGGTGGGTTATTGAATACTGTCTTCCTCTTATCGATGAAGTCAGACCTCATAGTCACAATACGTGCACATTAGTCTGATCTTGATGACATCAATTCTCTAATGGCTTGTAGCTCTTGGAAACTTGTTGTTGGTACATAGGAAAGTAACGTGGAATGGACAGTATATTCATTTCCATAGTTTTCTCCGTCGTCCAAGAAAAATTACTCTAATTCGTTTTTTGGTCAATAGAATGAATAAATATGCACGACGGACACAATCGATAGTGAAGATCAAATCTTGCGTAGTGTTTTGTACAAAGTGGCCACCTAGAAAGATTTATAGATAGGGTAATACCAAGACACGAGGAACGACCAAAGGAAATAGGAGCAGTTAAGAAGTCTATATATACATCTACCATTCAAGGGAGATACGGAGAAAAAATATTCAAGGAAAGCTCTTAGGTGCAGTAAGCAGATTACTCCACGCTGTACAAGTTTTCAGTCTTCATAGTTGAGAGTAGAGTGTAGGGTATTCGTGTATTCACACGAACTACCTCTCATTCTGCATGTACCCTTCCTCTCTTGTATCTCGTTTTACCGGATCAAGGCTACTTCGTTGGTCAATGCCTGTTTGTTTTCACTCCGCACAATTGCGCTTCCACATCTATATTGGCGGTGCAGGTACAACCGTCCTCCGTTTCGTGAATTGCCTCGTTCTACTTTGTACGAACACTCGTTTGCGACATGGACGTATTATCGCGAGGTACCGATAAGCCAACGCTTATACTCGTGTAAGTCCCATGACCAATTAGTCAAAAGGTCGATCACACCTGGTCCTCCCTTCACAGCTCCTTGAAGTACTCAGCCAAGAACAATTCAACACTTGAAGAACTCTGGCGTCATTGACGTACACCACAAATAGTACAGGGTCTAGAATGGAACCATGAGGAAACCCACTGTAGGCTACCATTAAGTACGAGGTCCCTTGCTCCACTCCAACGCAGAATCTCCCATGAAGTAGTCCTTGATCCATCTCACGACTTCCTGGTTGTCTCGTAAGGCTTTCAGCTTATGGAGTAGCTTGTAGTTGACCGAGTTAAGGGCGGTCCTAAAATCAAGGTAGCACACTCGGACTCGATCGCTTTCGTCTAACCTTTTTGTAATCTCGTCCAGGAAGGATAAGAGGTTAGTAAGACATGAGTTCTTGATGATGAAATTATGCTTTGAGTCGCTGTGATGTTCTGTTAATCTAGGAATCCTGGTAGCCTTTCTCGGAGACGTTTGAAGGATTTCAATGCTACTGACAGCAGGCTGACCGGGTGGTAGTTACTGGCAAATGCCTATGAGCCACCCTTATGAATTGCCATTACTTCTGCTGAAGCATCGTATCCTAGCTGTAAGCATTCGATTTCGCAATGCCCCCTCGTGTGCCCAGAAGAAAGTCTTGCAATCGCTCCACCACCACTGATTCATTACATTCACCCCAGCACGTGTCCAATCACTTGAACTTTTGACACCGATCAAGTTCACATAGGTAAGTGTTTGGAGCGGGTAGTTGGAAGGCACATAAGACACTACATAGTCAATAGCGGACTTTTGGTACCAGCTCAACACGGAATTTGTTGAAAAGAGGTCTTGTCTGACAATCCTTTTGGTGTTTCTAGACTAGGTCACACATAGAAAGGATGAGAGCCTACCGGTAGAGGTATGCTATCAGAAAGTATTCGGCTCGGTCAGCCACCATTTTTTAAATCATAAGATACATTCATTGGGAATAGCTGGGCAATTCAGGAGCTGGGTGATGGGATTTTTAGTGCCACGGGCGTTTAGCGTTGAAGTAGGAGCTCACATCAAGCAGGAAGTGGTCACAAGAGGCGTACCTAAAGGATCGGTACTCGGACTGTTCTTCCTGCTCTACGTAAGCGACCTAGAACGGGATCTGCATAATGCATTTTCTGTTTGCAGATGACGTTAGGATAGCTGGATGGGATCTAGCAAATCATATAGAGGAATTCAAACGATGGGTCGAACAGTGGGACCTACCCCTGAACGTCTCGAAATGTCAGATATTGGAGGTAGGAACTGACGAACAGATGGAAATGGGCCTCTCGATACAAAGGGTGCTCGAGGCAAACGATACAGGTGTAGTGGTAACGCAGGACTTCAAACCAAGTGCCCAGTGTGTGAAGGCTGTAAAAAAGCCAGGGGACAACTGTTTCGTCTGTGAGCGATTGTGACGTGCAGAAAACCCATGTTTCTTCCACCAAGCAAACGCATCTGGAATATTCTGTGCAGGCTTGGGCTCCGTTTTAACGAAGGGAGGGAGTTCAACGTCTAGCCGCAAGGACGATTGATGGGCAACGAGGAAAAGGCTATGCACAGCGGATTACGGATCTAAATCTGTTCTCACAAAAACCGAGGCGCATGAGAGGAGACCAGATTGAGACGTTTAAAATCGTAAAGGGTATATCGGGCCCCAGGTTTGATGACCTGTTCTCTCGGGTTCTGCATAGGGGCACAAGGGGACAACCTACGTCTGCAGAGAAACCATTCTAGGCTACAACTGAGGGCAATATTTTTCACTGA